ATTCTATTCTATTCTATTCTATTCTATTCTATTCTATTCTATTCTATTCTATTCTATTCTATTCTATTCCATTCCATTCCATTCCATTCCATTAGAAAGAAGCTGCAATTGATCATTTCTATCAACATAAAGATACAATTTTCTTTTCCCCATAATTTAATGCTGATGTTTATTTCCCCCAGCCCTTCTGTTCTTTAACGGACCTTTTGCTTTGTGTTTCAAAATCTTGCGAGTTAGCCATCTCGCTTATAAAACAAACTTTCAGCTCATGCTATTGTAACTATGAACCGCATTCAGTAGGAATTTTTCCAAGAACAGGCACATAAACATCTGTTAATTCACTTCTACACGTACTCAAATAATATATATTTAAATTAACATCAATTTTTTTTTCCAATACTCACTCAAATGCCAACTTTTGATCATTTGGCTTTATGCACCGGACATAATGTGGTGTGGTGGCATTAAGAGTCTCCATTAATAAATATAAGGAACTGCGAAACTGAAATATAGAGGGTGAAAAGTTTGTTTGAACTTTTAGAATACAAGCAACATCTTTCTGGCTAATTTATGAATGGAAGCCATGACATTTATTACAAGCTTCATACTGATGACAGCCCTTATTGTCAAAACAAATGAGTGTACAGAAACTCAATGAGTCTGGTGGATGGAGGTTTGAGAGTCCATCTGCCATATCTCTTTTAGCTCCCTCCCACTTTCAGCTCCTCTTCCTTCAACCCTTTAGTCGAGTCCCCAATGCTTTCCCAGCCTAAGATTGTTCAAGGCAAAGTAAGAAAATAGATACAAGAACTAGAACAATCCTGCATGTAATTTTTTTAAAAAAAATTCAGTGTTTCTCAAACTTGGTAACTTGAATCTAAAACAAAAATACCTTACTTCCAACAGTTGCACGGAACTGTTTGTTAGGTGACACAATCACTGTTTTTGCAGACTTAACTTTGATTGCAGAGTTGAATGGGGAAAGAGGGACTGGACCATCCTGGAAGAAGTTTGCAAAGAGCCGAAACTACGGAGAGATGAAAATTAAAATTAGATAGCACGACAGGCAGTTTTCAATTTAACAATCATTTGTTTAACAACCGTTTAGAAGTTGCAATTTTTGTACCGTGGCTTTTTAATCACCTCTTCAAGTGAATGGGGGAAGAAATGTATTTTCAAACTTGCAAGGTTCTTTTCATGCAACTTTACATTAAAGTAGATTTAGCTCATCTGGACATGCTTCTTGTTTGGTCTACCTTGCAAAGCTGACACATGGCTTGGTGGAATGAACTTTTCATTCACAACGACTTGACCAGATGGACACATTCAGTTCCGGCCAGACATTGCCAGAAGCATCTCTGTGTTGTGCCATTTGAGATTTAAGCATCCAAAAAGGATGGAGTTTAGCTTTGATCATTTCCAGACATCTTGCAAAGTTATGCTTACCAGAAGTATAATAGCAAAAGTACTGTGGAATCATAAAAAATATATTTACCTTACTGTTTCTCAAGATAGCAATCAGTACTTCATACACAGTGTCCCGGTTTTTTTCTAGAAATCCTTCATTTTTATATTCTACCTGTTTAAGGAAGATTATGGAACAAAGGTCAATCACAGAGCAATGAAGTTATAAAAAGGAGAAGTGTTATATCCATTCCCAGGATAGATCAGTAGGACAGCCACAGGGTATATCTGTAATTTTTAGATTTAAGATTCTTTGACAGTGAGTTGGCCAGATCCCATCAGATCAAACAAGAGTGATCTCCAAGGGATCACAGCTAATTATTTGTAAGCAAATCAGGTCATGAATTTCAGATGGAAGGAGATCTATAAACATCTCCTTTAATTCCCAAATAAAATATTATATCGTAGTCTTAGAAAATCCATGACATGCTTGGACTAAAATGAGAAGCTTCTACAGAAATCAAAACAACTCATTGGCAAAATTGTTTCAGAAGCTCGTATCACTCACTCCTTTTAAACCATGACCTTGTTTATAGAAATAGCATCATTTTTGCGGGGATAGGTGATATATTATTAACTCCATATTAGGTGAATAAATCAGGACAAAGGATGATGGTTCATTTTGGGAAATAGAAGGGTGTCATTTCTTTCCACATTGAACACCTTACCTTGTCAGCAAAGTGCTGGATAATAAAAGAAGTATTTGACATTCTTGGTTTTTCAAAGAGAGGGTTCTTGTTCATAAAATTATTATATAGCTTCTGGAGCCAATTTTCGTCAGTTCCTTGAGGTAGCTGTTTTGAAAAAAGCAAAAATGGCATATCTAAAATTAGAAACAATAAATGAAAATGCTTATTGAATGATCAAAGTGGTTGGTTGGTTGAACAACCCACTTCTTCTATGCAACACCAAGAGTGTGTACAGTGTGTACCTTTTTCTACACAGCCATCTTAGCTTTCTTGTTCTATAATACAAGATGGGTTGCAATCTGGAACACCCCATCCTTCTCTCTGACTGGATTCAGACTTTTCATAGGCATCAGGATTTATTAAATGGCTGAGCCACAACTGAACAAACAAGGCATGGCTACTTAATGCAATATCCAAAAATAACCCCTGGATAACTTCCATGCAGGAATGAACACCTGTTGCTGCTACATTTCACTACCAACATCCTGAAGTGATCAGAGTTACCAAACGCAGTTAACAGGATTCCATACACTGCAATAAAGCATTTGATTCTGGCTTGATTCATCAATCCAAGACATTTTATAGCTCAGATGCAAATTCTCCAAAATCGGCTATATCTGCATCTCTGCTTAAGAGTTGCCGGTTTCAAGTATATTTTGCATCCTACTTTGATGGGAAATTGCATCTACATAAATAGCCTTAAGAGACAGAAACTATGAAGATGAATTTTGGGTTGGCGAGGTGTCTTGCTAATATAGCTAAAAAGCATTAGGGTAGCAAAATTGCAAAACTGCCTTTCGCAAGGGTGTGTTAAGAAAATTAGCCCCCCCCCCCCAAAAAAGGACTAGATTTGGGTTTGTGAAATTAAAACGTTGAAACGTACCAAGCACTCTTCATCCAAAAGTTCTAGAATGCCCATTTTAGCTTCAATCAGATCGATGACAGGTTGATTGTCATAAAAATCAATTAACGTCCATGGGATATTTTCCTTCATGTATTCTTCTTGTTCAAGTTTAAAGACATGCTAAAAAACGATATTGCCAATTTAATGTCACAAATACCATCGGTTGTTTTATGAGTCACATCAAAACTCAAGGGTTGCTTAACAATACAGAAGCATTTTAAAGGTGCCAAAACATTTAAGCTTTGAGTTTTACTGCCAAAAATAAGCCAATATTTATTTCTGGAACATCAACTCAGGACAAACTTTAATCCAAACTAACGGACATCCATTAAAAAAAAGATCATACCAAGTTAAATTGTTGCTGTAGTTTTTCATTGGCATAGTTGATGCAAAATTGTTCGAAGCTATTCAGATCAAAGGTTTCAAATCTGAAACAAATGGTAGAAAGTTTTAAATTTTTAGACTGGAAAACAAAAACTATGACGCGATCCTTTCTGTCGTGAGTTTGAGTGGCAATACAGAGCAATCATTTTGGGGCAAAAGATATTAACAATATTCTGGTACTATATCATGTGAGAACGGTCGATTTGTAGAATCTGAAGAATTCAAAGAGGTCATTCAGTGGAGAAGTCCCAATGAAGAAGTAGTGTCCACATAACTACAGGTAGTCCTTGACTTATGACCACAGTTGAGCCCAAAATTTCTGTTGCTAAGTAAGCAAGACAGTTGTTAATTGAATTTTGCCTCACTTTATGACTTGTTAAAGTTGTTAAACGAATCAGCGTCATTTTGAGGGTAGGAGTTGAAACATTATCTGTATTTAATCTGTATTTAATACAGATGTTGGGTTATTTCTGAAAAATGGATCACCTTACCCATAAATGTCCAGAACACCAATAAAGCTATGTTGTTTGCCTGAAAACTGCAAGGCCTTGTTAATTTGTTCCACGATGAAATCAAAAAGATGAGAATAAATCTTCTTGGCCAAAGCATCTCGGGCGTTTATAGCTTGGAGTTTCGTCATTGGCTTTACTACGGTTTCAGAGGTAGTAATAATTTTCCTGTGACAAAGCCATTGAGCTATTTTATCACTTTCGACTCCCAGGAGCCCACAAAATATATTAAGATGTTTGTCCTCCACCTTTGAAGCAGAAATAAGAAGCCTGTTGTCACTGGGCAGTTCAATCACCGAAACTGCTACAGCTTCAAAATGCAATATATTTTTTAACATACAGCTTGATAGTCCACAGATCCTTGTTTTCGAAGTTCTGCTTCCTAGAATTGTTTCTCAACCTTACCAACTTGAAGATGAGTGGACTTCAACTCCCAGAATTCCCCAGCTAGCATGACTGTCTAGAGCAGGGGTGTCCAACCTTGGCAACTTTAAGACTTGTGGACTTCAACTCCCAGAATTCTGGGAGTTGATGTTCACAAGTCTTAAAGTTGCCAAGGTTGGACACCCCTGGTCTAGAGAATTCTGAGAGTTGAAATTATCTCATCTTAAAATTACTAAGGTGAAGAAACATACTTTTTTTTACAACCCTGTAATCCCTTAATTAGGGGTAGAGTTGGGGTGACTGAATGGAACTGAGTATTTACTGGCTGGATGCCCTTCCCGACGCCTATGCAGAGTTCACAGCACATATTTTCTCCTTCCCTCCATGGTAAGAAATATCTGCCCCATCTAAGGTTTGAACTCTCAATCTTCTGAATAGGAGGGGAGTGCCTTCACCACTAGGCTACCAAGCCGCTCAAGGTGAAGAAACACTATCCTAAAATATCTAGAAGATCCCAAGGTTTTGCAGTCCTGGAACTGAGTGCCAATCCTGCAGAATTTAACTTTTAACATATTTCTTCTAGATTTGTAACGGGTTAGAGAAAATCATGAGAGCGATGTTTCTCAACCTTGACCATTTGAAAACGTATAGATCTCAACTCCCAGAATTCCCCAGCCAGCAAGGTACTTCCTACTGAGTGTAATACCCAAAAGCCAAAAGATTAAGGGACTGAAGGAAATAACTTATCAAAACCTTGCGTCGTTCATGAAAACATTCTGCCAGTCAATCTTACATTAACACAAGACTTTTCATCGCCAACGGGACTGATCTGCACATTGCCTAAATGAAGAATAGCAGAGAGTATTTTGAAAACATCCATCTGAAAATCTTCCTTCAGGCCTGCAATGAAAAATGAGCAAAAATTATTTCTCACCCTGATGTTAAGATTACAAATAATTTTTACATTAACAGTGTGATTTGATGGATGCTCCCTAAATTCAGTGGCTCCTAAAAAGGACAGGGCATGTTGGCTCAGCAGTTAAAGACCGGAAAGCTAACAGTCCGTGTTCGAGACCTGAGTGCAACTCACAATGGAGTGAGTTCCTGTTCCTTGCTCCAGGCTCTTGCCCACCTAGCAGTGTGAAAGCATGCAAATGCAAGTAGATAAATAGGTACCATTTTGGTGGGAAGGTAACAGCGTTCTGTGCACCTTTGGCATATAGCCACGCTGGTCACATGACTACAGAAAATGTCTTCGGACAATGCTGACTCCCTTGGTCAAGAAACAAGGATGACTACCGTGCCCTAGATTGGACTTTACCTTTTGTACCTAAAAAGCTGCATCGGATAGCATGCCAATTTTTTGCCAATCTATCAAAAACTAAAGGACCCACCAGCATTTCATAAATATCAGAATTTTGCTGTTATTGTTTTTTAACAGCTAACTTGACTGATCTTACCTAGCAGGCTGAAAGTTTTCTGAGTTTCCTTCATGTCGGCACGGTCGTTCACTCCTTCAATTGTGGTGTTTCTACCCATGTTAGTATAATTAAATTCTTCAGCACTTGCTATGGGTGGAAAGCAAACACATCACCAGATATGCTGACTGTGGAGGCAACAGACTCCTAAGGAATGGGTCATAGGTAGCCAAATATTGCAAAGGTTCGGGAGGGAAAATGAGTCTTTTAAGATTAACGCTGAGAAACCATTGAACTTTTGGTGGAAAGAACTTAATTACAAGATATTATTTGTCAGAAATGGTGTAGGGTAGGGAGTTGGACTAGATGACCTACAAGGTCTCTTCCAACTCTGTTAATCTGTTAAAACTCTATCCTCAAATACTTGCAATAAATGTGGACACGTCTCCTATCTAGACTGAATTCCCAGGACTTTCCAAGGGGAACGCCAAACTGCTTTGCTATTGTTTTCCACCATCTTATTTTATTTATTTATATTTATTGGTCTCCCAATTCCAGTGGATTCAATATGTCATTGAATAGATCAGAAATTGTAGGCAGAAGGGTTGGAGCATTGGGAGAGAGATCCTTTTGAATAGTTAGCAGGGTGAGGTTTACTAAACTGGGACCATATTTTGGCCACACGAGAACATACAGTCCTAAAAAGATGCTACCAAACAAAGAACAGAAGCCTCCCCTGTGAATTATGCACCAAACCAATGTAATAAAGCAATAAAAGAGATTAATCTATAAGGTGATAGGTAACATACCCAGCTGAAGATGCTTAAATTCGGGTCTCTGAGCCGATGCACACAGCTGATAGAATATGTGATAGTTTCTTTCATTTTCTGACTGCAAATGAAAGGAAGAGAAAGATAAAACTAGAAATATTTTGGATGTTTTGCTGACAGAAGAAAGAAATGAAATGTTGATTTGTGGATTTGACGATTAAGAAAGATGTAAATTAAATGAAGGGCTGAAATCAACCTATATAATGCCTAAGAGAAAGGAGGGACTATGAAATTGTAACTATCTACTGAAAAGAAGTTCATTATATTTCTTATAGGTTTTTTCCCCCTTCTCTTTTTTCATTTCTTGAGTCTGACCTTCCTTCCTTCCTTTCTTCCTCCCTCCCTCCTCCTTCCCTCCCTTGCTTCCTCCCTCCCTTTATCCTCCTTTCTTTTCTCTATCCTCTTTCCTTCCTTCCTCCCTCCTTCCCTCCCTCACTTCCTCCCTCCCTTTATCCTCCTTTCTTTTCTTTATCCTTTTTCCTTCCTTCCTTTCTTCCTCCCTCCCTCTTCCTTCCCTCCCTCGCTTCCTCCCTCCCTTTATCCTTTCTTTTCTCTATCCTTTTTCCTTTCCTTCCTTCCTTCCTTCCTTCCTTCCTTCCTTCCTTCCTTCCTTCCTTCCTTCCTTCCTTCCTTCCCCCCTCCTTCCCTCCCTCGCTTCCTCCCTCCCTTTATCCTCCTTTCTTTTCTCCATCCTTTTTCCTTCCTTCCTCCCTCCCTCCTTCCTCTCCTCCCCTCTTTTGCTTTGTCTTTTACCCTTTGATATTTTTTAAAAAATGAATATAAATAATCAACCTTGAAATAATTTCAAAATTGAGAGACGGAAGGCCAGCCAACTTTCTGTGATGTGGGTTATCCAGAAACTGATGTGTGCAATGCAGTGGGAAGCTTCCACCACTCAGCCCCCCACCCACATTTGACCAATTGCTAGATTGTGCAACCTGCTGGCCTCTCAGACAAAAGTGGTTTTGCGTTTTAGCCAAAGCTCATGCTCCAATAATGGTTTTCACTTCTCCATTGAAAAACAAGAGGAAGCATCTTGAATTATTCTAATTTCATAACGCCTCTGAACAATGCTAAGAATTGCACACAGAAACCCCAAAGCAATTTTGCTGTCTTTCGTTCTTATTTTGTTCCTATGAAGAAACAAAACGTTTTTTAAAAAAACTTTTAATTTTACAAGTTTTTTAAGGCCATCTCTGAATATTGCTCCTGAGCAGCATGTTGGCTAGATATAAACCTTGAGACCATCTGCAGAAGGCGAGAAAGTTTGCTGTCTCTGAAGTTAGTAGAAACGCCCTGATTTCGCTGCAAATTTTTACTAACCTGAAAAACAACTCTAGATTTTTCGAGCAGGTATGTCCTCATGTTTGCCCCAATGATCTGGTACTTCTTATCAAAACTGATTTCCATGTATTTTCCAAAGCGACTGCTGTTGTCGTTGCGAGTAGTTTTAGCATTTCCAATTGCCTGCGCAAAAGATGAAATTGTTTTAGATGGCAAGGGGGCTATTTCTATCAGATGATTCAGTTGGGAAACATTTAGAGAGTCGGTTTGGTCTATTGGTTAAGGTGCTGGCTTAGAAACCAGGAGGTGGTGAGTTCTAGTCCTGCCTTAGGCATGAAAGCCGGCGGGGTGACATTGGGCCAATCACCAGGAGACGGTGAGTTTTAGTCCCGCCTTAGGCATGAAAGCCAATTGGGTATCTTTGAGCCAATCATGAGACAGTGAGTTCTAGTCCTGTTTTAGGCAGGGAAGTCAGCTGGATGACTTTGGGTCAATCACCAGGAGATGGTGAGTTCTAGTCCCGCCTTAGGCATGAAAGCCAATTGGGTATCTTTGAGCCAATCATGAGACAGTGAGTTCTAGTCCCGTCTTGGGTAGGAAAGCCAGCTGGGTGACTTTGGGCCAATCACCAGGAGATGGTGAGTTTTAGTCCCGCCTTAGGCATGAAAGCCAATTGGGTATCTTTGAGCCAATCACAAGACAGTAAGTTCTAGTCCCGTCTTAGGTAGGAAAGCCAGCTGGGTGACTTTGGGCCAATCACCAGGAGACGGTGAGTTCTAGTCACACCTCTGGCATGAAAACTGGCTCGGTGACTTTGGGCTAATGATCAGGACACTGTGAGATCTAGTCCAGCCATAGCCATGAAAACCAGCTGGGAGAATTTGAGCCAATCATTCTCCTTCAGCCCAACCCACCTTACCAGGCCGTTGTTGAGAAAGGAGGAGGAAGGAGGAATATTACTACGTTCGCCGTCTTGTGTCACCTATAAAGTAATAAAGATGGGATAAAAATCTAATAATGAAATAAAATAATTTACCTCTGTTATCGGATTGCATGCCAACACTTTATCCTCGACTTTAGCGTTGCTGCTAGATTTGCTGACCGTCGCAAAATATCTCATGGCGTATCGAGCAGAAACTGTTTTGCCAGCTCCTGATTCCCCACTTACAATAATCGACTGATTTCGGTCATTCCTAAAGAAGAACATATGATCATCATCATATCATCATCATCAGGAAGTTAGAAATAAGTCTCTTCAAATGTCATTATGTTCCTTTTACATTAGATTCCAATTTGGTCTAAGGCGGAATCACCATGATACAAAGATATTTCAGGTGTGATTGGTATAAATCTTTTTAAAAAAATCATTCTGGGCTCCAAAAAAATCAATGAAAATGCTTGCGTGATCACTTTACTGACTCTAAATCAGAGGTGTAGTAGCCCCTTTTTATACAAGGTTGAGGTACTACGGTTTTGTGAGCTGTAGTTCATTTCATTGGATGCACGGAGTAGCTGAACTGACATGAGATTTAAATTGGGGTAAGATCAGGATAAAGGACCAGAAGGCAGGCTCGTTATTGAAACCCAGGTTACGTGTGAGACAGATGATGTACCTTCTCATTTCACAACTCTCATGTGTGAAAAACTCATTGTGTTAGCCTGGGATGACCTCAAACTTTCTGCTGGAAATTAAGTGCCATAATCTCTCGCTCTATTGTGCTGATAAAAACCTCATTTCTGCAAACGGTCCCTTTGGGATCTGCTTCAAAAGACTGAAGATATATTATTTTATCTTTCTTTGGACTCAAGATTCAATACAGAATAACAGAGTTGGAAGAGACCTTGGAGGTCACCTAGTCCAACCCCCTGTCTGTGATGACCCGGAGTATAACACAAACAAACACAAAATCCAAAACATAAATAAATGTCCTTTAATGCCTCCAACTTGGCCCCACTATTCAATAATTCTCAGTTGGAGATACAATGTATTCAAAAATAGTCTTCAAAAGAAAGCAATACAGTCCGAACTTAATGATTAGATAGAGATGAAATAAAAAACTAAAACAAGCTACAATGAAGGAATTTCCACCACAGACCAGGATAAGGAATTACCAACTTCAAGGAGATAACAACAAGGCACAGTCTGTTGGAAGGATGCCAACCAAGATCACTTCAGCCCAAAATAAAACATGGTTTACTTCTGGCAATGCTGTATTGTATCTGTCTCTCTTCTATACTATTCTCCCCAGCTGCAATCAATGAGGGGGATCATGGCCGCTTCCTCTCTCGTAAGCCAAGTTGTTCCCTTCTCCGTTCCTCCCTGCATGTCCTAGGATGAAGAGGGGATGGGCCTGATTCTTCCTCTGACTGCCCAGCCGGCCTCTGCCCCAGCCTCCTCCACAACCTCTGGAGCCACACCTCCACTCCCTGTTGGCTGTTCCTCCTCTCCCTCAGAGTCTGACTCTAACAAGGGCATGACACTGTCCAAGCAGGAGACCTTACACCATTTCTGACAGATGGCAGTCCAATCTCTTCTTGAAAGCTTCCAGTGATAAAGCTTCCACAACTTCCGAGGGCAACTTCTGTTCCATGGGTTGATTGTTCTCACTGTCAGAAAGTTTCTCCTTATTTCCAGGTTAAATCTCTCCTTGTTCAGTTCCCATCCATTATTCCTTGTCTGGCCTTCAGGTGATTTAGAAAATAGTTTGACCCCTTCCTCTCTCTGACAGTTCCCTGTCCCCTCCTGATGGAGGGAGCTGCATCTAACCAAAGTGTGACTCTTTTAATGAATTTTGTTATCTGGAAAATTACTATAAGAGTCAACAGAATGCACACAACAGATACAAACTCAATGTAAACCACTCCAAACTTGATTGCAGAAAGTACGACTTCAGCAACAGAGTGGTCCCTGCCTGGAATGCACTACCTGACTCTGTTGTTACATCCTCTAACCCCCATTCCTTTAACCTCAAACTAACCACTATTGACCTCACCCCATTCCTAAGAGGTCTGTAAGGGGCGTGCATAAGTACACCATCGTGCCTACTGCCCCTGTCCTATTGTCCCCAATTATTCGTACCTATTTCCTGTATTCTTACTCACGTTTATACTTATACCTATTATCAGGGTTCCGGCAGTTACTCCAATTAAATCACGAGCCTTGAGCCACACTCCCAAAACTAAAGAGGATTTATTTGAAGGTAACATTCTACATCCGGCACTAACCTGGGTATAGCCAACATTTTGTATACATGTTTTATAGTTGACACCTATTATCTTGTAAGTGATTGGCAAATAAAATAAATGAAATAAATAAATAGAATTCACCACCGGTTGGACTTAGATCTCTTGTGGCTACATAAGGATTCCAAACTGATGACGTGTTTGACCCCACCTTCGGGCTCTGCCTAGTCATCTCCTACACCTCCTTCCACAATCTCTTGTTGACTCTAAGAGTCTCTTTCTCCATCCTTCAAAGCTTACAGGGAGGGGCAAGGGGGGTGCCAACCTTCGCCAAGGTTAATCCCAGGACACTGATCAGAACGTACCTTGCCATTTGCTTGTAAGCCTCTTCCGCTACTGCGAAGATATGGGGATCCATGTCTCCCATATTTTGACCACTGTAAGCATGAATGATGGCATCCCCATAAATGGGCAGCTCTTTGTAAGGGTTTATGGCGACCAAAATTATCCCTGGGGATGACACACCAGTAGAGAATTTATAGAGTTGCACCAGTTGCTTTCTTTAGAATCCTAAATGCAACGCGGATCGACCCGTGGTATTTACCGCTATAGGTGTAAATCAGCCTGGACTCCACAAAACGAACTCGAAGGTTGTGTAAAACAGCCGGTTCGTGGAGGTAGCTAAGGGCTGTGAGGTCATTTTCTCCAACGAGAATGTCCGGATTTCGTAAAGGCGGCAAAGCAGAAGGATCCACTGGATAATCCAGCTCCTGTGAGTAAGCCAAGCGAAAAATAATATTACAGACTAAAAGAGTTGGAAGGGACCTTGGAGTTCTTCTAGGTGCCCAATCTCTTCCAAACAATCTCCAGTGTTGCAGCATCCTCCTTAGTTCTAGGTATAGAACCGTGATGGCGAACCTGTGGCACGCGGAGCCATTTGTGCCAGCAGGCGAGCCGCAGGCAAAATTACCTCACTGCGCATGCGCGTGCCTCACAGCTGATTTTTGGTTGGTTTGAGGCCTTTTTTGGCCTCCCAGAGGCTTGAGAAAAGCCTCTGCGGGCCGAATAGGCCCGTTTAGTCACTTCCTGTAATACCGGACGTGACGAAACGGGCCTATTCGGCCTGCAGAGGCCGAATTTGAGAGGTTACCACAAAGAACCTGTGCTCCAAAGCAACTGAACGGATGGAAACTAATCAAGGAGAGAAGCAATTTAGAGCTGAGGAGAAATTTCCTGACAGTTAGAACAATTAATCAGTGGAACAGCTTGCCTCCAGAAGTTCTGAATGCTCCAACCCTGGAAGTTTTTAAGAAGAGATTGGACAACCATTTGTCTGAAATGGTATAGGGTTTCCTGCCTAAGCAGGTGGTTAGACTAGAAGACCTCCAAGGTCCCTTCTATCTCTTGTTATTTTGTTCTGTGCCGAGGTTTGCTCTCTCCGTGATTAGTTGCCATCTATTGCTTCCTGTCCGGCCTTCAGTTGCTTTGGAGAATACCATGTATTCTTTATTCAGTCTGAAGATATATCTGCTATCTTTACAACCAAACCATGTCTTGGATCCAAAAGGATAAGCCAATATTTGAATAATATTTTCATGTGTTGCCAGTCTACCACCGCCTGCTTAAAAACACCCATTCTTTATTCTCACTGTGCTGTCTTCCAGCTGGAGGTGAAGAATATGGTCTCCAGGCCTATAATTAGCTGTAATTTCAGCAGATTGCCAAACTTCTTCAGCATCGGGGATCCAGACTCTGTTGTACTACAAGAAAGGGGAAAAATACAAACATCATAGAGGGTTTGGTGGCTTAATTCTTAACAGATTTGATTCATTTTGTTCTCAAATAAACAAAGCTAAAACCAAACATATATAGATGAGTGTAGCATCAGCAAAAATGAAAACAGCAAACATTGCTTGCCGTAATGCATAATTGTAGCTAACCGTTATGGTTGCTTTTAAGAACCTTGTTGCAGTGAGTTTCAAAGGAAAACATAGCAGAATTTTCTATGCTGCAAAAAACAGATTTATTTATTTTTTGCATGGAATTTAAAAAAACATTGTTTCCCTACTGTGAGAAATTTGGCATTTACTTCCATTAATTGAAGTGGGATAGAGGTATGTATCTTTAAGATCAACTTCTAAACATTTAAGACATTTAACATCCTATACTACATGAGTTAAACTTTGAAAGTTCCCACTTGAACAGTTTGCTTTTAAATGTGTAAATTCAAACGTCTACTATTGTAGAAAAGGCCTTTTTCCCTTCAAACATCACTGTATCAGGGGTTGATACATTAGAAGGTTCTTGCTTTACCCGTTGGTTTTGCAGGGAGTGATGGGATCTGTAGTTGACTGGAAAGCACCAAGTTGGGAAAAGTGGTTTGCTGAGAAACTATCATCTGCATAGAGGATTAATCCCATGTGCAACCATGTTCTATGCTAGAGCGTGTAAAGCAGTGATCCCCAACCTTTTTTACGCCGCGGCCTGGTATCCCCAACCTTTTTTATGGCGCGGCCCGGTACCGGCATTAGCTGGGTGCCACCATCTTTTTTTGATGAAAAAGTGCTTCCGGTGACCTCACCGGAAGCACTTTTTCATCAAAAAAAGATAGCGGCGCCAGCGCTTCCGGTGAGCTTTTCCGGGTAGAAATGGCTTTCTACCCGGAAAAGCTCACCGAAAGCACTTTTTCATCAAAAAAAGATGGCGGCGCCCAGCAAGCCAGCGGCCCGGTAGGACTTGTTCCACGGACCGGTCCGCGGACCGGTGGTTGGGGACCCCTGATGTAAAGCATATCTCAAACTTGACAGCTTGACAGATGTGTGAACTTCAACTCCCAAACTTCCCCAGCCAACCATGAGTTTATGGCTGGGGGGGGGGGGTTCATTTAACAACTGCCACAAAAAAAGTCATAAAATTGAGTCTAGTCACATAGTGATCTGCTTAACGACTGCAATGACTGTAATTCCGGTCCCAATTTCAGTTGTAAGTCAAGGACTAGAAACTACATTTATGCTGAATTGGCAGCTCCCTTCCCTGTTTATATAATCTGTTGGCCCGTTTATTGCCATCACTTGACCGAGAAACAAGTTATACAAGGAAGTCCTTCTCGATTAACTCCAATCTAAACCATTTTATTCGTCCTCATTCCACCAGTGAGTTGATAATTCATCCCTCTCCAAGTTCTTGACTAGCAAAGTTTTAAAAGAAAAGAAAAAATAGCTACAATCGATTGGTTACCCATTGTGTGCAAAGCAGGGGGATTCAAATTTTTAACAACCGGTTCTGTGGGCGTAGCTTAGGTGGTGGGTGTGGCTTGATGGTCATGTGACTGGGTGGGCATGGCTTCGTGGTCATGTTATTGGCTGGGTGTGGCCAACTCAATATTACTCACATCGAGGCACGCATCTCCTCGCCTGGCCTCTCATGACTGTGGGGATGCTGCAACAGTCGTAAGTGTGAAAAAGGGTCATAAGTCACTTTTTTCAGTGCCATTGTAACTTTGAATGGTCACTCCACACAAGCAAAGTACCAGCAAAGGAGGGGGGGAAAAAACTCCAGAGATGCTTCTGAGACAGGAAGTCCAGTCCTGCCAAGAATGTAATAAGGGTCAACGGAGAGGCAGTTTCTGTAAGCAACACCAGAATGTTTCCTTCCTGCCTTCCTTACAGGATTAGGCCAGCAATTTCTTCTAACAACCGGTTCTCCGAACTGCTTAGAATGTTAACAACCGGTTCTAGCGAATAGGTGCGAACTGGTAGAATCACACCCCTGGTGCAAAGCCACAATTTCAACAATGTTCTGTGGAATGACTAGGTTGGATTTGAACAAGACATCACTATGTGCTGTAAATTGTGTGGTTTTATAGCAACTCAGCTCAGAGTTTGCTAAGGCAAAATCAAACAAGCTGTATAATAGCATAGAGTGATGTATGACGCTATCTGTGTTTCTTTCTTCCTCATTGATTTTTTCTGTCCTCTTACATCCCAGGATTGTCACTGAGCTGTTATATGGCTGGACAATGCTTTAAAGGTTCTTTAATTCTTTGAATAATCATCAACCTTAATTACAGTCATTAACCAGCACAAAGCAAGTTATAGAAGAAATGCAAGTGTAGACCTGTAGACCGGTAAGTCAGTAGAATCAAAATAAATTTAAAAGGGGCTACACATAGAAGGAAATGTTTAGCAGGTCGGAATAATATAAGGGTAAACTTAACGATGAAAAAAGGGAATTAAGATACAGTTATATTTTTTATTTATTACACCCTTTAGCTTGCAAAAAATCAACTATCAAACGATGCAAGAGTGAGGTCAGTTTAAAAAAAAGGTAGAAGGATGGTAGCCTTCACTTAAAAGGCTTCTTACAAACCTAAGGGAACAATAATAGAATAGCAAGAAAAGGATAAAACAAAATACAAATTCCCCTAAGAGGCAAGAAGAAAAATAATCAATCTTAGGCAATATTGGAAATAAATATTAGTTAAGTGCCATGTTTAATCTGCAATGCACAGATAGCTAAGTTCATATCATACACTAAACGAATGATGGCAACGTGTGGAAATCAACTCCCAGAATTCCCCAGCCAGTTGATGTCCACACACCTTCAAGACTGCAAGTTTGAAAAACACTGCACTAAACCATCGCACACTGTGGATTGAAGTCCACTTGCTGAAAGGAATGGAGACTTTGCACAAGTGGCACCTTTGCATTTGTGCACAAAAGAGGTTTTTGAGCTGAAACATTGCAATACAAGGTGAATTCCTCTTTTGTCACCTATGTTAACTTGATCTGATCTTGAAGCAGACTCTTCCAGGCGCCTCCATCTGCAAATATGACAAGCCACCTACAAATCAGGGAACCTGCCTTGCAAATAAACACAACAGGTTTACTTTCATGCTGAGTCACACCCAGATTTCCTCCCACCCCTTCACCATCGCAAACTGGAGAATTCCTGGAGTGACTGGAGAAAGTATATAGAGGTTACATGACACCTGTCTGAAACTGGAAAATTACACCATCCTGTATGAAAACCAGCAAGTACACAACTGAAGCTTTCAAGCATGAGGTCATCTGGGTACTTTATTTTTTTTTCTACAAGGATTTTCTAAGATCCTGCAAAAGCACTTCCTGATTTTTTTCAGTATGTAATTCTGTAACAGCAATTCTGCAGGTGATTGATGCTTTTGGATTCACACAATAAATTGCCAAAGGTTTCTACAAGTTACACAAGGCGCATCTACCACTGTGGGTCCTTCATACAGGTGATGCTCCACTTACAACCAAAATTAGGATCGCTGTTTCTGCTGTTAAGCAAGGCAGTTGTAAAGTAAGTCATGTCCAATTTTCCATTGTTTTTTTTTTTTTTTTTGCCATGGTTGTTAAGCAAATTGCTTCAGGTATTAAGTGACTCACACAATTGTGAAGTGAATCTAGTTTCTCCCTTTGAGTTTGCTTGACAGATACCGGTCTGATAAGTAACAAATAGTAATTGTACGACTCCAGAATGCTGCAACCGTCATAAATATACACCGGTTGCCAAGCACCCACATTTTTTTATCACCTGACCAGGGGGGTGCTGCAATAGTTGTGTTAGTACAGTCGTAAGTCACTTTTTTCAATGTGGTAATTTCAGTCACTAAATGAGAGGTTGTAAGTCAAGGATTGCCTATAGTACCTCTGAATCTGGAAAGAGTAGCAAATGGCAGGGGTCCTTAAACTTGGCAACTTTAAGACTCGTGGAGTTCAAGTCCCAGAATTCCCCAGCCAGCCAGGCTGGCTGGGGAATTCTGGGAGTTGAAGTCCACAAGTCTTAAAGTCACCAAGTTTGGAGATCTCTGCATTATGGGATAAACTTTCTCTCCATAAGTCAACAAAGGACTCCAGACAGCTTTTGGAGTTCAGTCATTCTGCCAACTGGCTTCATTTACCATTTAACGCCTGTTTCGCTGGGATTCAACAACGATATTGTTGAAATTAGAGATTGTGGAAATTGCTTGGAGAGAGTTTTTAAACCACAACCAGATTTGCATCATATGTGTAATCAAGTCAGGTAAAAAGCTAAGGAGATGGATTCACACACAACATATCAAAGACTCCCTACCTTGGTTAGAGGTTTTCCCCTCCCTGGTTTAGCATGTGGGGGAAAACAGCACATTTAGTTAATTTATAGGCTAGGAAAAAAAAAATGGGTTTATTTGGGAAGCAGGGGAGAGTGTGGGGTGAATGTTTCCCTGAGGCTGCCCACTGAAGGGCCCAGGCAAGTCAGCCTGTTGCAGCTTGCGAAACAACAACTTTGGAAAAAGGTTTACTGGACCAGTCATGTCTAGGACTCTGGTCTCAGGCCCAGGAAAGGAAGAACGTTGAAAAGGGAGGAAGAAACAGGAAAAGAAAAAATAGAGATGATGGTGGCAAAAGAAAGAAAGAGAGGGGGAGAGGGGAGGAAAGAAGGAAGGAAGGAAGGGAGGAAGGAAGGAGGGAGGAAGAGAGAAAGAAAGAAAGAAAGAAAGAAAGAAAGAAAGAAAGAAAGAAAGAAAGAAAGAAAGAAAGAAAGAAAGAAAGAAAGAAAGAAAGAAAGAAAGAAAGAAAAAGGGTGGAGGGCAAGGATGGGAGGGAGGGAGGGAGGGAGGGGGGAGAAAGAGAGAGAGAAAGAAGAGTTCTCCACTCCACTACTTGTTGTAGAATACTTTATGCCACCAGACTCGAAATTCTAGATCTGGAAAACCTTGAATTATGCCGTCTTCGGTCTGATCTAAGTATGGTATATAAAATCATACGTTGCAACAACTTACCTGTCAATGAATACTTCAGCTTCAGCCACAACAACACAAGAGCACACAATAGATACAAACTCAAGGTTAATCGCACCAAACTTGATTGCAGGAAATACGACTGCAGCAACAGAGTGGTCAATGTCTGGAATACTCTACCTGACTCTGTGGTTTCTTCCCCAAACCCCAAAAACTTTAACCTTAGACTGTCTACTATTGACCTCACCCCTTTCCTAAGAGGTCTGTAGGGGGAATGCATAAGCACACCAACTTGCCTACCGTCCTTGTCCTATTGTTTATTTTTCTTATATGTACCCATTTCATGTATCCATAACTATGTATATTTGTTTTCTTAAGTTTCTTAAGGGTTTTTATATGTATGGTATTCAGCTTTGTTCGGGTATTTTCCCACGTCATTATAGTTGTGCTTTAAAAGTGGGAAAATACCCGAACAAAGCTGAATACCATAACTATGTATATACTTATACCTATGATCTTGTAAGCGATTGACAAATCAAAAGAAATAAAATAAAAAGAAAGAAATAAAAAGAAAGAAAGAAAGAGGGGAGGGGGGGGGAGAAAGAGAGAGAGAGAAGGAAGGAAGGAAGGAAGGAAGGAAGGAAGGAAGGAAGGAAGGAAGGAAAGAAAGAAAGAAAGAAAGAAAGAAAGAAAAGAAAGAAAGAAAGAAAGAAAGAAAGAAAGAAAGAAAGGGGGAGGGAGGGAGGGGGAGGAAGGAAGGAAAGAAAGATAGAGAGGAAGGAAGGAAGAGGGGGAAGGTGGAAGGAGGAAGATGGAGGAAAGAAGGAGGGAGGGAGGAGAGCAAGAAAGGGGAAAGAGCCAGAGAGAGCGCAGGGTCAAACTCCGGGGTGCAAAGCAGCCTTTGGGGGTCGAACAGCCTCCCTTCGGCGTTCCCAGCCCGCGGCGAAGCGTCCCCCCCAGGGGCCGGGGTCTCCCCTCGAGCACCGCTCCAAACGTCCCTCCCGGCTCCGTCCCACCTGCCGCGGCGCCCGCCTCCTCCTCCACCCGGATGGCTCAGCCGGGGCACGCCCGGCCTTCGGCCGCTTCTCGCCAGCTGGCGGGGACCGCCGCGGCACCGGCAGCCGGAGCCTTCCCGGGGCTGAGCGAGGAGACCCCGGCGGGGGCTCCCCGCGAGGCGGAGCGGCGCCTCTGCCTCCTACCTGCGTGTACAGGTCGGCCAGCGCCATCGCGGCGGCGGCGGCGGCGGGGAAGGTGCGCGCCCTGCCCCTTGCTCCGCTCTCGCCGGCCGGAGGTGGGGCTCCGCGCCGCCGCCGCCTCCCAGCCGGAGCGCCACGTTTGTTTGCTGGCTGGCCGCCTCCGAGGAGGGAGCTGCCTTCGGGACGGCCGGGCCCCCTCCGCGGGGGGGTGGGGGGAGGGAAAGGCGGGGGGTGGGTCTCCCCGGCAGGACCCCGGTGGCAGTTGCTTTTGAGTGGATCTCCAGAGCTTGGCTTTGCCTGCCAGCTCCACTCCCCGTCTCCAACCCAGGGGGTTGTGGATTCACACGTGAACCTAGGTAAGGAGAGGAGAGAGAGACAGGCAAACCGATAGGGATGGATGGAAAGGGTAGGATGGGATGGGATAGGATAGATAGATAATGAGTGGATGGATGGATAGATATGAATGTAGAGTGATGTGGAGAGATAAGAGTGAGAAAGAGACAGATAGAAAGACAGACATGGGTGTATAGATGGATGGAGATAGATTAGATCAGTAATGGGTGGATGGATGGATGTGTGGATGGACAGAAGATAGATAGATAGATAGATAGATAGATAGATAGATAGATAGATAGATAGATAGATAGATAGATAGATAGATAGATAGATAGGATATGAATGTAGAGTGATGTAGAGATAGAGTGAGAAAGAAACAGACAGACAGACAGACAGACATGGGTGTATAGATGGATGTAGATAGATAAGATAGGTAGGTAGGTAGATAGGTAATGGGTGGATGGATGGAAGATAGACAGATAGATAGGAATGTAGAGTGATGTAGAGATAGAGTGAGAAAGAGACAGACAGACAGACATGGATGTAGAGTGATTTAGAGAGAAAAAGAGACAGACATGGGTGTATGGATGGATGTAGATAGATATGGAGAGAGAGAGATAATAACTTTATTATCACTTTGAATGTACACTAATTGGCATACATTAAAATGAAATTTCGTTGCATCCAGCTCTCAAAGGGTCACCACCACATATTTATATACCACATAAGACAAGTGGCCTCTCGCAGCAATGCTGGACTATCACCTCCCCTGCCACTCCCCTCCCCTCCCCCAGCAAACTGGCACAAAAAAGTATGCATTTTTGAATTGCCCAGGACCATCATGTCCAAAGTTCTGACAAGTATCCAAAATTAGTCCAGATGTTCTGCATACCAAATATGTAGGTCCCTGTAGCCTAAAAGCTATCGCTCCTTCCTGGCTTTGGGGGTGTTTTTAATGTGCACCCCTTTTTAAAAAAAAACACAAAGGCCATTGTCACCATCTTTTGTGTACTTTTCGATGCAGAAATGGCTGGGGGCAAAATGCAGGTATCCAATGCAAGTGATGGCATTTTGGAATAGAGGACTTTTTAAAAGCAACTTTAAAGGATAGATTTTCATAGGAGCAGCCATTAATTGGACCCAACGCACACTGGGATAAGTTAATGGATAGGATACCGTAATATCTTACATTATTGCTGAATTCATCCTTCCAACAAATAACCTTTCATACAAGAGACTGAAGAATAAAGACTTTTTAGCATTTCCTTTTATTTGGACATTTCTTCTATGATACAGCATTTACGAAGCATACATTTATTATGTCAGACACCATGACAATTCCAAGCTTAAGTCATTCAGATTAAACATTTTGGTTTCTATCTACGGCTAGTGGGTAAAAGACCTCAAACCCTGTTATTTTTGCTTCAAAAGGAATTGCAAGTTTAAAAGGACAATGATCCAGCGATTTACAAAAGGAAAAAACAACAACAGTTGAAATGTGTCCAGTTTTGAAAGTCTCAAAAGAAAAAAAAAGATACAGTGGGTTGAGATAGTAAACTAACTGAAAAGCGTTGCTTTGAGAAAAAAAAACACGTTATTGGGATCAAGAATACTCTATATCTGTGTGTAGACCTGTAATTGTGGTTTATTTTGCTAAAATCTGATGTGGGTGAGGTTGATGTTCTGGGAAAACCTGCCCCACAAAAGCTTTGTATCGGCAGGAAAGACCGATTATGAATAGCGCAAACTTATTGTGACCAATATCTGATGCACAAAGCTTTGTACATGTGGAACAGACAAATCAATGCCTCCAGCCCTCTTGGGATACTCTGGGAGGGGGCAACAAACGAACAGGTCCAGCACAAGCAAGAAAAAAAGGCTGTGTGACCAAAGCAAGCATGTTTTGAATACAGTGCATTTAATCCTTACTTGCAACTTTCTTAGGGGCTTTAAAAGGATGCCCAGGATTGCAACACTCCGTAAAACAAAAATTGTTCCAGACTAGCAAGGAACATTCTTCCAATCGCAAGATTACATTGTAGGAGCAGCTGGAAGAAAAGCAAAAACTATCTGAAACCTAATGAGGTAATGTTGGAGGGAATATTTTGGGTCTATACATTTCAAAAGCACGCTTGGGGAGAATGGGAAATCATAGCATATCAGTTAAAAATAAGAGAGGGCAACGCTTCCACATTAAAATAACATGATTGTGTTTTAAAGGTGGGGGGGAAAATAAGCAAAATTCGAATTGTGTTAGATGCTGCAAATTCTAACTTGAAAACAGCTGGTTTTCTAGCATGTAACAGTAAAATATTAGACCCAGAAAAAGTGCACATAAAATACTGATATGTAAAGTGTTGGATGAATTACAGTTAAACTCGGAACTCCTTTCAAACATGGAAAGCAGCATTCGGTTTTAATGTGACAGAAAGATATTATTTAATCAGATTACACAGTCGGAGGATAATGCCGACAGGCATCCATCACTCTTATTAGTAAACAAGATACAATAAGGCTTTTATACAAATAAAACAAAAAATTAAAAACCATATATCTAAACGATGTCATCATCGCTTTTGGAATTGTCAAATTCTTGAAAAAACAGTTATTCAGTTGAAATGAAAAAGCAGAATTTCCAGTAGTGGAAACTAATTGGGGTGCTAGATTTGAAAAGTAGAGCTGTCCCCTTACATAATTTCTGCTACAGCCTTTTCATTATGCAGCAGGGATGTCCACCCTTGGCTATTTTAAGGCCTGTGGACTTCCAACTCCCAGAATTCCCCAGGCAGCACGACTGGCTCGGGAATTCTGGGCATTGAAGTCCATAAGTCTTAATGTTGTCAAAGTTGGACACATCTGTTGTGCAGTATGCTAAGAATCCAGTGAGAAGTTTAGTGTACTTTGCCATCTGAGTAGCCATCTAAGATTCTGAACATGAACTCTCATAATCCACAACTAGCGTGGCAAATCTCGCTAGGAGCATGGGTGTAAAACTTGGGCGGTGGGGGGGTGGAAGATAACGCCCCCAGGCCAATCGCCAATGCCAAATGGTGTCACCAGTTCAGCAAAGCAGATCCAGCATCTCCGAAAAGTTCTTTGATGCTCCATAATTGCCCTAAAGATGACTGATTAAAACTCTATTCTTTTGTATTTTTACCTTCTCTAAGAAAGGTGTTTTGGACACCTATTGTTTGACTGCACACCACACACCCACAGAGAGAAACTGACCACACAACAAACAGGAAATTGACTAATTTACACCTGGGGCTGGGAGATTATGAGAATAGAGTCCAGATCATTTAGGAAGCCATTAGGGTGGAAATGGCCACTCTAGGATCTCAACTTTCAGCTCCTTTGTGGTATCAAGCCCCAACTGGCCAGAGCCAGAAGAAGTGTACCTTTTAATAGAGCATTTTAAAGTAATCCTAGGAGGGACACACTCTTAGTCATTTTTGTAAACATAGTGCCAGTTATAAAAGAAGATGCACATTTTCAAGTAAAGACCTATTAATTATCATAAATAAAGAACATGTATTAAAGGCAATACTTGAGTACCTGAATATTTCTTTTTTTTAAAAAAAAATCAAAGAGCATTTGCTTCCCTTCCCACAATAAAACAAAACGAAAAAAAATGGGGAGCCCCCCCAAAACAGGCCTCTTTTATTTACCTCAACAATGTCCCTGTCAGTCCCATCTCTTTCGCACATGAAAACCTATTTAAACCTGTTTCAAGTGACAGCATCTTTTAGGTGCACAGAGAAATTAAGTCCAGGACTAGACCATTTTAATAATGTGCATTTTACAGCAGAGATATGTTTGAAAATAAACATCATTCAATTGTTAGGATAAATTAAAATATTGCACATGGCAGTCTTGGGATATGTAATGTCATCTTTTGTATTTCTGATCATCACTGACCGTACCTGTTTTTTTTGTTTTTTGTTTTTTAAGGGAGCCTGGGGAACTTTAAGTGAAGGTCCACAAATATTTCAAAATGTCAGTTTCACACTGGGGAAAATCATGACAACTATTGTATCAACAGCCTGAGAGATTTCGGCAAAATCTTTTCATCAGATTGTATTCATAATATGTCTAAATGAAATGTTCCCATGGAAACAGAAAATGAATATTTCCTTTTGTTTAATAAACTAGGTCCAAATCAGGGATAGTATTACATTTTTAAAATAGGAATGTGTAGCAAGCTTTTAAGAAAATTGTTAAGATTGGGAGTGGTGCTAATGGTAGGGGAATACTTTCTTTCCCAGGATTAAATGTTTGAGGCGCATTTTAGATGAACTCTTTCCCTATAAGGAAAAAAACCTCTTCCCCACCTCCAAAATAAATATTACACACTCTCATTACACATCTGGCAAATAAAACACAAAAAGCAACATATACCAAAACAATAAATAAATATAAAATATAATATTGTTGGGTTGGTTCTTTTGACTTTAGAAAACAGGTTTCTTAGATTGTGCTTAAGTTATCATTTCCTGTTACTACTTATATGCTTCTTGACACTGGCATAAATCTTATGAAAAGACCAGACTATTAAAGTTACAGTGATTTTATAAACCTGCATTTCTGTTCCTTAAGAATTATTGTACATTTAAAAGAACACCACAGACTGCGACACTTCTGATATGGTTTGAAACAGTACTAACAAGCAGCTCTATTGTACCAGAACGTAAATCAAAATATTTTTCATTAATTCATCATTTATGTCACAACCTGACATAAATAGGGAGGCAATCAATTGACCTGATCAATTATCTCTAAGGTTGAAACCTATAAAAAAAAACTTATTTAACCTTGCCCTAATGAATGGTGCTTTCTAAGAGTATGACTATTTCTATTTATTTCAATGGTTTTTACGGTTTGTACAGGCAAAATGCCTGATCAGTGATACTGTATGTTGTCTGTCTCTGTTAAATGTTCAGGTCTTTGAAATATATATATTTATACATGTATATGTGTGTCTGTGTTTATATACACATACACAGAAGCTACCCCTAATATTTCCATCCTTCTCTTGAAAATCACACCTGGCTGATCAGTGATTAAACTGGCAAATCACTTGTCACTTAAATATGCTGAAATGCCTTACAAGGAGCTTTAAACGTAGAAACACATTATGGATTGGAGGTAACGCACTCACACCATTGCACTGGAATGATGCCGTTCCACTCAGTGGAGACACAGGAAAGAATATCTGGTGACTGTTTTCTACCCCCCCCCCCAAAAAAAGAAAAAAAGCGTACGTGTAAAATACAGATTATAGGGATTATCAGAACCGTTAAAACTGAGAAGACTCCTCTTCCCACAATTGTAATTTCTGCCACCAGATGCACATGATAATTTTTGGGTCTTACTATGGAAAAGGAAAAGGAAAACCCATCGCGGTTTATCCGTCACAGGCTGTTTTTGGTTTACAAGGCAAATATAAGACAGCTTGCAACCAACTGAGGAGGGGGAGGGGTGGAAGAGAGAGAAACATTAAGGTGTGTACTAATGTTTTTCTTAACCTGAAAACTTTAGGTAGGCCTCAGCACGGAACGGGTGAGTTTCTACAAATGTCCAGTGGTTTCTATCAGCTTCCGGTGGTGAGAGAATGATGACGACGCATTCCAGTTTTCTGCAATGCAGTTTGAGAGCACATACGTGATTCCCTTCCAGTCTCTTCCCGCCATTCCTCCCCAAACCCGCAATGGCTTTTGAACTCAATTTATTTTCAGCGTTAAAGAGATTATGAGTAGAAATGGGCGGCTGACAGCTTCCCTCGGCCTTGGGTTCAGACCCGAGTGATGAATCCTAGACCCAAACTTGCTGGGATCTGGATAGTTTCTAACGCGAGAGAGGAAGGGCTGAATGGGAAAGTGACGGGGAAAATATGTTTAGCATCCATGAGGAGTTGAGGAGAATCCTTCCGGTCTCGCATACGCAGCTGCAAAGAGAATAATGGGTCACGTTAGTGTCTTTGTTTGGGCTCCAACAAATCCCCCTCATTCAAAGCAAAAGTCTCTAGCCGCATCTCAGGAAAAGTAAATTGGTTTATTAGAAACTGCCACGTTGGCGCGTGGCTGGGTGCAGCCAATATACTAAATTACATCATACATTTCCCCCTTGACCCTGGTCTTCCCCCCACCCCCTGGATGTGATTTCTCCAATGGGACACATCCGTCTCCAAGAGTCATCCATCATGCTCTCCAATAACCTTCTTATGCTCCAACAACTTTAGGCTGCTGAGTTGATTATCTAGGCATTTAAGGAAGGACTTGTTTTTTCCCACTCTCTTTTTCTGGCAGCTAAAAAGACCAAAGGAGTATCTTTTTAGTTGACAGTCTTGTTGTTTAAATAAAGGTAGTCCTCAGCTTGCAACAGTTCTTCTTAGTGACTGTTCAAAGTTACAACGGCACTGGAAAAAAAGTGAGTGGTGGCCGTTTTTCACGTTTTTTTACGACCGTTGCAGCATTCCCCGTGGTCACGTGGTCAGATGCTTGGCAATCGACTCGTATTTATGATGGATGAAGTGTCCTGGGGTCTCACGTGATCCCCTTTTGTGACCTTCTGACAAGCAAAGTCCATGGGGAAGCAAGATTCACTTAACAACCGGGTTACTAACTTAACAACTGCAGTGATTCACTTAGCAACTGAGACAAGAAAGGTCCTAAATTGGGGCAAAACCCAGTTTAAAAATGTCTCACTTAACAACAGAAATTTGGAGTTCAAATGGGGTCATAAGTCCAGGACAACCTGTACCCAGGTGGACATTCTACCCAAGATTGTTTGAATTATATACATTTTAAAAAAAGCCAATTCTATTCTTATTTTTCAAAAGAACAAAAGACAAGATGTTGTTTGAAAGTAAATTTGCAGTGAATTTACCATACATGCTGATAGATATTAAACATTCTTTTTGAAGGCATGAGCTTAGAAAGCAACATTTTCATCAGGGCTCCAGCATCCACCCCCATTTAAATCATAAGCCTCTAGCCCAGGGGTGGGCAAACTTTTTGGCTCGGGGGCCTCATTGACTTTTAAAATTTGACAGATGGGCCGCCACCGGGTGTCGAAATGCCTGACATTACAAGTCAAAATCAAATGAATGCAATCATTCACATCAAACCTTAATTCTGTACCAATCTTCGGTGGGCCGGATTAAAAAGACCAACGGGCCGGATGTGGCCCGCGGGCCGTAGTTTGCCCACCCCTGCTCTAGCCACATCTCTCAGAGTTTAAAGAAGATTTAGTAGGAGTGAACATGCTGGTGCTATCTGGGTGTAGCAGACTCTGAGACACATCATTCATTTCACCCGTGACCCTGGTCTTCCCCACTCCCTGGAGGTATATTCTCCAATGGGACACGTCCATAGCCAAGAGTCATCAATCATGCTCTCCAATAATAATCTTGCGCGCCAGAAGCTTCGGTCGCCTAGAGATTATCTATGAAGCATTTAAGGAATGCACTACTTCCCCCCTTCCCTTTCTGCTGGCAACTCTAAAAGACCAGAGAAATATTTTTGAGTTGACAGTTTTCGTAGATTGCCTGTGGTTGTTGTACACTTGAATTCTTGAATGTTTTCATTAATACAATTTCGCCTCAATTTATTGCTAAAAGACAAATGTTTGTTGTCCTCGTTCCTACCAGCTGAGTGTGCAAGAAAGTGCCTGGGAAAACTTTTCATTCCTCTTCCCAAAGGATCCATAAACAGGGACCTATTGCTTCCATTAATATGAAAACATTTTCTTAGACACTCACACCTTTCCCCCCACAAACTAACCCAAGTCTTTGGAGGTAGGATGGTCCTTCTTACCACACTTCCAATATCAGTAGATGCCATCCGTGAGACAAGAAAATAAAAATTTACCTGTATTGTCCGGATAAAAGACACAGACACTCTTTCTTCAAACTCGTTAACGGGAGTATATAAGTTCAACACTTTCACAATCTAAAAGAAAAAAAGGAGAAGGTAATGTTGACGCATTCTTGCTACTTACCCCCAACAAACGTTTTAAATTTAAGTCACGGGAAACGTTAATCATGGCTTGATTGCAATAGGATCGCTCTAAATCAGAGGTCTCCAAACTTGGCAACTTTAAGACTTGTGGACTTCAACTCCCAGAATTCTGGGAGTTGAAGTCCACATGTCTTAACGTTGCCAAGTTTGGGAACCCCTGCTCTAATCTAAGATAAAATCTACATTCAGCTTGAAATCTTAAATCACTTTGTAGGATATTTAAAAAAACAAAAAACAATCATCGTTGCTAAGCGCAGTCTTTCAAGCGGTCTATCCTGTTTCAGTGGAGAGCAACGTTGGAATGCAAGTGGTCACAATTGTACCAAACAGACATCGCGCTCCGTTCCGAAGGATTAAAAAGAAATCCTTCCCTCTAAAAGAACAAAGGGCGCCTTTCTATTCTTCTCCGTGAAATAAATCCCGGACACAAAACGGAGACCTTTGTCTTTAATGTCGACTGCATTCGGCGGAGGGGTTTGCAAAGCTTCCTCCTTTTCAATCTTTGCATTTTTATTATGGTTCACCCTGCTGAGCTGAGCAAGCAGTGAATGCGAATTCCACCGGAAGAGCAAAATGGCAAAAGGCACAGAGAAGTGAAGCGTGCAGTCAACTCAGCCAGGGTGGTATAACAGAATAATGCAGTTGGAAGGGACCTTAGAGGTCTTCTAGTCCAACCCCCTGCTTAGGCAGGAAACCCTACACCACTTCAGACAAATGGTTGTACAATCTCTTCTTAAAAACTTCCAGTGTTGGAGCATTCAGAACTTCTGGACGCAAGTTGTTCCATTGATTAATTGTTCTAACTGTCAGGAAATTTCTCCTTAGTTCTAAGTTGCTTCTCTCCTTGATTAGTTTCCACCCGTTGCTTCTTGTCCTGCCTTTAAGGTGCTTTGGAGAATAGCTTGACTCCCTCGTCTTTGTGTGGCAACTCCTTAGATATTGGAACACTGCTATCATGTCACCCCTAGTCCTTCTCTTTATTAGACTAGATCAGGGGTCTCAAACTCAAGGCCCAGGGCCCGAATCCGGCCCGTGGGGTTCTTAGATTTGGCCCTGGAAACAGCAAAGGACCAGCCCGCAGTTCCTCTGCCAGCAAAAATGGAGCTCGCGAGGGCTGCGTGTGCCCCCACCCCCACCCCCCGAGCTCCGTTTTCGCTGGCAGAGGGTTGCAGGAGGTCGTCACAACCAAAAACAGAGCTTGGGTTCCCCTTTTCACTGGCAGAGCACTTGGGACAACACAGGCACCTCCCCAAGCCAAGTGATGTCATGCTGGCCATGCTCACCCCAGCCCACCAAGGTCACAAACACAACCTTGATGCGGCCCTCCATGAAATGGAGCTTGACACCCCTGGACTTCGAGCCAAGCTTCAAAAACTTCAAAGGATTTATTAGGAACAAACATGCCTGCATAACCCGCGTGAAGCCGATTCTGGGACACATAATTTACTATCACCTATGACCCTGTTTCCCCCACCCCCACCCCAACCTCTCTGGGTGTATCATAATTCATATTCTCCAGCTGAAACCCCTTCATAGCTGAGAGTCATCAATCACGTTCTCCAATTAGAGATTTTTGGGGCAGAAACTCCGGTCACTTAGTTACAATCTTTGCAAGATAAGAATGGAATGCACTTTCGGTTTTAAACTGCCCCGCTGCTCCTTCAAATTTCCCCCCCCCCCCCCCCCCCCTATTTCAGGGCAACCCTAAAACAGGCATAGACATGTTTTATGAGCTGACACCCAATTCCTGCAACAGGTCTTCATACGTTTTAGCCTCCAGTCCCCTAACCGTCTTCGTTGCTCTTGTCCAGGAAGAGGGTTACCTGTGCGGTAGTCAACGCATGGCACATGGAGCAGATGGCGCCGGCGTCCTCTTCGGTCTTCTTTTTCACTTGCAGCAGCTGAGCAGCCTGGATCAAGGGCTCCAGAGTCTCCTTTGCACCGCTGGTCATCAGGTTTTTGTCACGAAGCCATTCTTCCAGCTGGCTTACATTGTACCTGCGGGGTTGATGTGATTTGGGGGGGGAAAAATTCAATCAAAAATCTTTAACAACTTTTTAAAAGTCAGTCTGCCTAAGTGGAAATTGTTTTCTCGAGGCATGCTTGCTCAGTGGCCCTTCAAGAGGTATTCTGTTAATTATTAACAAAACTGGTTTGTTACGAGGGAAAGAGCAGCTCCTTGTTGTGGTCAAGAATGCTCAGAATACCTTTAGAAGACGAAACAAGGAATGAACATT